TCCCACCCCACCATAATCATCATAGATATAGTTTCTTTGATCGAGAAAACTTTTTTTCTTTTTACAACATTGGTCTCATACAACATTTGTTCTTTGTGATTGTCTAATGTCCTCCGGGTTCAACCATGTTGTGAGATGTTTCACAGACTAATCATTATTAGTCACCGTTTTTATAGTATTCCATTGTGTGTATGTACCAAAGATTTTTAACCATTCTTCTGTTGATGGGCATTTAGGCTGTCTCCATTTTGTCTCTTGTAGGCAGCATTGGAGTATCCTGTTTCCTTATCTTTTCTGCTCTTTATGTCTCCTGACATTTAATCCATTTACAGTCAGTGTAATTATTATTAAGTATGCATTGATTAGGGTCATTTTTCTGTGTGCCTCTTTGTGGTGTTGCTGGACTCTTTGTTCCCCGTAATTTTCTCCCAGAGTTCAGTCTGTTTGTGAGTTTTCTTGTCATTTTCATTTCTGTCGTGTAATATTTACTAAAGCTTTCTGGGTTTCTTCTTTTTCTTTTGGTGTGTAGGTGTATTATTTTTCTTTGCAGTTACCCTGTAATTTATTCATTTTTTCCCTCCTTAAAACAGTTTGTTTTATCTTGAAATCTACTTGATTTCCTTGCCATTTGGAAGTTCTGTGTCTACACTACTCCTTTATGCTTTGTAGTTGACTTTATTGTACATTGCTATCTCTGATTACCTGTTTTCAGTCTTGTGGGTTTGTTTTACTGTAAATACTTACATATATGGATTGAGTTCTGGGTCCTTGTCATGTATAGTGATCTCAGATTATTGCCAGCTGTTGTTGGTTCTCAGTCCAAAGAAGACCCTTTCGCATCTCTGTAAAGTTGGTCTGGTCATTACAAACTCCTTTAAGCTCTCTTTATCAGGAAGTGCCCTCATTTTGCATGGTATTTGAGGGGTATCTGATAGTTGGTTGGCAATATTGTCCTTTTAGGGTTTTGTATATGTCTTTCCATTGCTTTCTTGCCTGCGTGGTTTCTACTGAGAAGTCAGAGCTAAGTCTTCTTGGTTCGCCTTTGTAGGTAACTTTTTTTTTCCCCAAGCTGCTCTCAGGATTCTTTCCTTGTCTTCGATTTTAGAAATTTGCTTATGATAGGTCTTGGTGATTTTATTTTAGGATCTCTCCTGTTTAGGCTTCCTTCAGCTTCTTGTATGCTTAGCTTTTATCTTCATGATGTTAGGGGGAGTTTTCTTCCAACAGCTCTTGGAAGAGTCTCTCTGTGCTTGTCTCTGTTGTGGAATTCTGATCACCCATAAATTGTTCTCTTCATAGTGTCCCACATAACTTGCAGGCTTTCTTTGGGTGTTTTTTCTGCCCCCCTCATGCGTGTATCATACTAGCATTGCGAGATTGATCTTCAAGCTCACTAATTCAGGCTTCCAGTTCTTCACATCTACTTGTTAGCCTTTCAGTGTATTGTCCATTTCTGAGGTCTTAGTATCAATCTGGATCTCTAATTGCAGGTTTGGCGTTGTTTTTGTCTGTTTGTTCTTGTAGCGTTTTCCTCGAAATTCTTCGAAAGTTTTTATTGTGTTCTCCTTGCTTTCCTCAATCTCTGAAGTTCTATCAATCCTCTGAAGGAACCTAATTTTCATTCTTTGGAATTCTTTTTCAGTTAGTTCCATTAGCTTCTCTTCCTCAGAAACGTTTTCTGGTTCAGTTTTCTGAATCCAGGCACCAAGGTGGCACATCAAAGCAGTGCAGCCGAATCCTACCTCCCGCTGGCGTGACTCCCAACCACACAGCTCCAAACTCCCAGAGAGTAGAGTCTGCACTGGGGGTGGTCACCAGGAGTGGGGTGGGGGGGAACGGAGAAAAAATTGCATCTTTTCTGTTCCCCCGTGGGACTCTGCTCTGCCAGGCCTCCCTCCACTACCAAAGCTGTCCACAAGCTGGTAGAGCTGTACTGGGTGGGGGCCTTTCACCAGTGTCCAACAAGCCCTCCATCCACCCCATAACCTTGCTTCTGAAGTACGTGCTCCAGAATGTTCATGGGCGTCTGTTTTGTGTCTCACCTGTTTGTTGTGGAGGGTTCGTGTGGTGCGCCTGCATAGTCCTGCATCTTGGTGGAATTTAATGTTTGTATGCCTTTAAAGGAGAGTTGGTTATACAATAAGACCAACACTTGACTGAAGTTAACTACGAACCAAACCTGCCTGTGCCAAGCGAACGTACAAATTCAACTTAGAGACGGACTCAGGGTTGGCACTCACCTGTAATCAGGACCATCTGGGTTTTGTCTTTGTCTTAAGTAGTAAGTTGGGATTCTCAGCATAGCCCGCATGTTGGATCTTTAGCCTTGGAATGCTCAGACATCCCCCCATGTCTGTAGGTTAGGCAGCAGATTTTAACATCCCAGCCCCATGTATCTGCTGAGGGTGCTTTTGGTGTTGGACCTAAGAGTCTGCTGTTGAAACACCAGGCCCTCTGCTGTGGACAGTGTGTGGGTTTAACTGGTACAGTTAGGCACTGGCTGGCTGTGAGTCTCTTGTGTGTTCTTTGCCTTGTGGAAACCCTTGTGTGTACAGAGGCTCTCCCTGGGTGTTGATGGTGTGTATTTCAAGACTCTCAGTTCAACTGTGCTCCTGAGGGCCCCCCTCATCCTCCTGCCCCCCCTGTGATCTCTGAGTTTGGGAGATTCAGCTCTCCTCTAGGATGGGGTGTCAGGCCCCTGGGGGAATCAGCAGACAGCCCCCCATGTGTCGGGAGCTAGCAGCCCCACTCTCATTTTCTACATTGTTTTGCACCCCATGAACCAAGACCCAGGTGGCTGGGGTGGGGATGGGGAGGACTACCAGCCACGTGCTTGAGCCTTTCATCTGCCTCATCCCCAGAGGAGCCCAAAGTGGGCATCAAGACCATCAAGGTGTACTGTCAGCGCATGCAGGAGGAGAACATCACCCGGGCTCTCATTGTGGTGCAGCAGGGCATGACCCCATCAGCCAAGCAGGTGGGCGGGGCCTCTGGGGCGGGGCTTCAGGGCTTGACCTCTCTTTCAGCCAAGCAGGTGGGCGGGGCCTCTGGGGCGGGGCTTCAGGGCTTGACCTCCCCTTCAGCCAAGCAGGTGGGCGGGGCATCTGGGGCGGGGCTTCAGGGCTTGACCTCCCCTCAGCCAAGCAGGGGGGCGGGGCAGCAGGGCTTGACCTCCCCTTCAGCTAAGCAGGTGGGTGGGGCCTCTGGGGGCGGGGCTTCAGGGCTTGACCTCCCCTTCAGCTAAGCAGGTGGGCGGGGCATCTGGGGCGGGGCTTCAGGGCTTGACCTCCCCTCAGCCAAGCAGGGGGGCGGGGCGTCTGGCTCAGGGCTGCAGGTTGCCATGGCCTGAGATAAGGAGGGGCAGGGTGAGGGCAGCAAGCTGCTGGAACAGGAAGTGGTGGCCCGTTTGCGTCAGCCCTGACCGCTTCCCCTCTGGCTGTGCTGCCAAGCACCCGCTCTCACTGGGCGTCTCACTGTTCCGCTCCTGTGCGGTGAGGCGCAGCGGTTTTCACCCAGGCCGCCCCCACTCGCTTTGGGAAAGGGGGGGCCTGAGCCACCCGCTCCCACAGACACAGGGCGGGGCGGTTGTCAGCTTTATGTGGAGGCCCTGGGGGGCTGTTAGAATGCACTCTAAGCGGTACTGTCGCCCCCAGTCTCTGGTCGACATGGCCCCCAAGTACATCCTGGAGCAGTTTCTTCAGCAGGAGTTGCTCATCAACATCACGGAGCACGAGGTGAGCCGCTGGCTGGGTGTTCCTCGGGTGGAGCCTGGGGGTCCCGGTGCTAGAGTGCCGCCTCTACTGTTTGCAGCTGGTTCCCGAGCACGTGGTGATGACCAAGGAGGAGGTGACGGAGCTGCTGGCCCGATAGTATCCTTTGTGCATCCTCCCCATCCCCTCTGCCCGGGGCTTCCACACCCTCCTCGTCCTTCCTCCCCCATTGTGCCCCTTGGAGTTTCCTTGACTGTACCTTCCAGTAAACTCCGGGAGAACCAGCTGCCCAGGATCCAGGCTGGAGACCCAGTGGCGCGGTACTTTGGGATAAAGCGCGGCCAGGTGAGAGCAGCCCCTTCCCAGGACTGAGGTGGCCCATCCGCCCTGAGTCCCACACTGACTGTCCTCCCACAGGTGGTGAAGATCATCCGGCCCAGCGAGACTGCAGGCAGGTACATCACCTACCGGCTGGTGCAGTAGTGACCGTGCCCACAGGTGAAGGCCCTGCTCTCTCTCTATTACCACCACCACCCCGCGATTCACCAGCTGTCAGAGGTGCCCTGGGTCTGACAACGCATTGTAATGCTCCCCCACTTTCACTCCCCCACACTCCCACCCTGTAGAGAAAGGGAGCGCTTGTCCCCTGCAGGGGATGGGACTCGGAGGAGTTTCAGTGTCATGTCCTGAAGGTCTCCTTGGGGAAGACTTGACCTTCCTGTGAACTGGAGCAGTGCTGGGGAGACCCTGCTCAGCTTTGGTGGGCTGCTCTCTCTGCCCGAGGACAGATGTCTCCTAGCCCCATGGTGCAGCGTTAGGCTTTGCTCCCACGGTGGCCCAGCCACCCCGGCCTCCGTCACCTATGAGCTCCCAAGCCGATTCAGCACCTACCCTGCTCTGTGAGACCTTGGGCGACCTCTCAACAGGATGGAGTGTCTTATCTCTGGGTCTTCCTGCGTACAAGGCCATGTTCTTCCCTCCACCCAGCCCCAGAGACGAGGGAGTGTAGGGACAGCACCTTTGGGACACTGCCCAGGACGGAAATGTGACATCCTCCCGACGGCAGACCCCTGAGGCCTAGTGGGCTGTCATTGCTGATAAGACAGGGTCCCCCCAGCTGCCACCAAGGGCACAAACTGGCTCCTCCTGACCATGTGTGTGCTCCCAGCGCAGACTGGGAGACGCTCAGACGCCTTCCCAGCTGAGTTTGTTCTGGATGCTGGGTGTTAAAATTAAAGGTTTTTTCAGTAATTACATCTGTGTTTGAGAAACCTGAGCTGGATAGCAGGGTTACAGCGTGTAGCGCCCTGAGACTGGGGTCTCCTCAGTGCACTTGACTCGTCCCCCCGGTACAGACATGCTCTTGAACTGGACCGTTGCCATGCGTGTCTGCCAGCGCAGCGGCTGGTCACATGCTGTCCGCTTCACTTCCACCCGTCTCCTACGCATAGGCAGCAGCCTTGTGGGGCTCTGGGCCTGCCTTTCTGAAGGGGGATAGACCTGCAGGGCCTCCCACAGCTGGACTTGCCTGAGTCCTTTCCCCCAGCTGCAGCGTGGGGCCTGCTGTGCTCCCAGTGGGCTGGATATACCTTGTTTAGGGTATGGTTTTTCCTCCTACAAGTTTTGTTCTTACTTTCCTTATATTTGAGGTGAAGTTCAATCACAGGAAGTTAACCACCTTGGTTCTGAGCTAGTTCTAGAACACTCTTAGCACCCTTCAGAGAAGCTCAGTTCTGCCCTGACTCCCTGTCTGTGACTTGCCTGTCCTGAGCCTTTCAGACGGGTGTGGGCCATGTGTCCTTTGTTGTTGGACTTCTCCCTGCTTCCGCCACCCACCAGCCTATAGGAGGGCTGCTTTCCTGGTGACACGGGACTCATCCTCATGGGCTGTGTGAGCACCACGTATGGAGTCTTGTTGCTTCTGAGGCCTAGATAGATCTCGGGATGTTGCTGTTAGACAAACCCTGGTGGGGGCGCTGATGCCCAGTTGGACCACCGGATTTGTTGGCTCTTCTGCCTGTCACACATTCTGTCAAGTGTTCCTGTCTTAGTGGACCTCAGCTGCTGTCGTCAGGTCTCAGCTTTGGTGTCACAACAACTGTCACAGCCTTCTGAAAAGGAGCGAGTGTGGCTACATGCCAATACAACTTTATTTTCAGGTAGTGGGCTTTGTTAGCCAGCCCTGGCTGTCTCCTTGTTTTTATTAAACTTTTTATTGTGAATTGAGTGAAGGTTTACAAAGCAGATCATCAGTTTTACATGCATCAAATCATATACTTTGCTTTATTACAATAATTGCATCTCTGTATCACTTAACGTATTTCCCTGTATTAAATGAAACGGTGTGAAGGTTGTGGTTTCTGCTCCCTTCATCATTCCTGTGCTAACCTCCCTCATATATATTGCTCCCTTATCACTCATGTTACCCTGTGTCTACCCTCCAGTCCGTGAATAACTCCCCCCTCCTGATGTGGCGTTGTAGGATCCCTGTGTGAACCATGAGTTTACATTCACCAGCTGCTCCTCAGGAACCCTATACAAGGTCATTATGTGGTGAACCGACTCCACAGCACTTAACAACATGACTGTCATAGAATGTTTCTTTAGATAGAAAACCGTAACTTTTTGCAAGAGTGGTCTCATATAGTATTTGCCCTTTTATGATTGACTCATTTCACTCAGCATGATGTCATTCAGGTTTAGCCATGTCTGGAGGTGTTTTGCGGATTCATCATTACTCCATTGTGTGTATAGGACCTAAGTTTGTTTTCACACTTCTGTTAGTCGTGCTCTCGTGGCTTGTGTGTTACTGTGATGTGGGAAATGCCAGCAGAATCACCCATGAATGGTTTCTAGACTAAAGGGGAACCAGGAAGGAGGAGAGGAGGCCTACTTCTGAAGGGTTAGGCACTGGAAACCTTACGAATAGCAGCAAAACTTTGTCAAATGTAGTGCCGGAAGCTGAACCCCTTAGGTTGGAAGGCGGTCAGAATGCGACTAGGGAAGTCGAGCTGAGTGTAATGACGTGAGTGGAGTAAAGCTTTCAGGACCTTCATTTGCTGACAGGACACAACTCAGAGGAGAAACAGCTGCAAATAGCCATTACGAAGTCTGAATCTAGGAAAAGTGGAAGTTATCAAATCTGAAATGGAACCCATAAAGGTCAGTATCCTAGACATCAGTGAGCTGAAATGGACTAGGATTGGCCATTTAGAGTCCACAGTCATACAGTTTACTGTGCCGAGAACACCAAATTCAAGAGTGGTACAGCATTCATCCCTGAAAAGAACATTACGAGATCTGATCTTGAAGTACGACACTGTATGATAGGGTAATAGCAATACACATACAAGGAAGACCAGTTAATACAACTATTTTTCAAATTTAGGCACCAACCACGAAAGTCAGTGATGAAATTGAATTCTACCAACACTTCCGGAGTCCTAGTGTGGCGCTGTAGGTTAGGGCACTGGACTGCAAAGTCAGTTGGCACCACAAACTGTTGGAACCAAGTCGACAACACTTAATGACAACATTTTCGGATTGATAGTGATCAAACATACAGTCGAGATGTATTGTTTCCTGGCAACTGGAATGCAAAGTTGGATCCAAAGAGTAAGGAAGAGTTGTTGGAAAATGACCTTGGTGATAAAAACAATGCTGCCATCCCTTGATAGAATTTTGCAAGACCAGTGACTTCATTGCAAATTCCTTTTTTAAACAACATAAAAGACAACTCCATAAACACGTGGACCTCACCAGGTGGAATACATAGAAACTAAAGACTGGGAAAGCCTTATAGCCACCAAAACCTGGAAAGGTGCAGACTGTGAACAGACCGACCATCAGACGCTCAGGTGCAAGTCCAGGCTGATGTTGAAGAAACGTTCAAAGTCAACAAGAGCCACGATGTGATCTTGAGTCTGTCCCACCCGGATTTAGAGACCAACTCAAGAATAGACTTGATCCCCATCCAGAACCTTCCGAGTTGGGACATTCACCCTTGAAAAGCCATGCAAACCAACCCAGAACTGCTGGGGAACAAGATTCTCATTGAAAAAAGACCAAAAAGTAAGATGTTTATTGAATTTCAAGCAAGCTGTTTGCACTGGGGGCATCGAGGCAAGAAAAGTGATCCCGTCAGCAAAAGTCCCCTTCTAGGACTAAAAGGGAACATGCTCGCTTGTTGGTAACCACCTGGGTCTACTGAGTAGAAGTGAGAGAAAGGCAGCAGTGAAGACATGGGCTGAGTTTGGCCATGTTCCATTGACACCCGTTGACATGGAAATGAGAGAAGAGGAAGGCCTGGATGGTCTGAAGTTAAGGGAGATGTTTGTGAATTACTGAGCCCATGGGCACTGGAAATGAAGCAGCCAGCTGGTCTAAACTGCAGGGAGGTGTACATGAACTATCAAACTTGCAGTTAGTACCAATTTGACGTAGCTTAGATGGCTAGATGACCAGATGAAGATGTTTGATACTATGAGTGAGTATAAATTGCTGCAATTGAATGAACTGGATTTTTGCTTATGGATGCAGTTGCTCAAAATTCCTAGTGAAATGGAAGAATTCTTCATATCAAGGAATGACCTTGTTTCCTCAGTGTTGTAGGTTGGTAGGGACAGGAGGCAGCTTAAACATATCAAATATGGGGTGGGTGCTATAAAGGCATGAAGTGGCTGGCTTACAAGCTTTCGTGACTGGTTTCAGAATGAGAGGGGTAAGGTAGAATCCTTACTGAATAGTTTCCCTCTTTTCCAGATGGGTCTGGTGAGGAGGGTTGGGGAATGATGGCAATAGGATTTATGATTGTTAGCAAGATTAATTGTGTGAGTGATTGTTAGGATTAATTATGATTGTCACAACTGTAGTTGTAGAAGATGTAACTAAAAGGGTGGAGCAGCTAATCTTCCATTTCAGGACCATCAAGAAGGAAGACCATGAGCGGAGCTTGAGATCCCTACGTAAGAAAGCAGAGACAGTGGCATGGAGAGACAGCAGCTGTATGCACTAGACTCTGGGACTGAGAATAGGGTTGTGTGCCTGCAGGCGGGAGGTTGGTTGTAGACTGTGTCCTTTAGATATTTAAATGAATATATATTTTTTGTTTTATATGGATAAAATATTTTTGCTTAGTTCATTTGTGGACTATAAGATATAAATGTGGATCCACAGGGAGGAAGTAAATTGTTGTAGGGAGGGGATTGTAATCATTGAGCTGACACAAGATTAAAATTTGTTGACTATAAAGCTGATGCCACAATAAAAAGTTAAAAACAAAAACATTTCATGCATTAGACTAAAAGACCTAAAACCAGAAGAAAGCAAAAGGTCATTAAGAAGACAAAGACCAAAATGGATGTCAGAAGAGACTATGAAACTTGCTCTCCAGCGTAGAGATACTAAATAAAGCAAATGGAGGAAATGAGAACATTTCAAAGGGCAGCTTGAAAAATCAAAGTCAAGTATGATAAAATTTGCAAGAGCTGGAGTTAAAAAATCAAAAGGGAAGAACATGCTCAGCAATTTTCAAGTTGAAAAAAAAAAAATTCAAGCCTTGTCATAGTGAGGATTCTATGGAAAAATGTTGAATGATGCAGAAAGCATCAAATGAAGATGGAAGGAGTGGAGTGTACAGTCAGTGTAACAAATAGATATGGATGCTGTTCATTTCAGGAGGTAGCATATGACAGATATTGTAGTCAAGTGTGTATCCTACAGATTCAATGTGGTACTAAAGGAAAGTTGAGTTGGTTTAAGCTCATAGTAACCCTGTATTGTTTCCTAAGAGCAGCTGGTGAGTTTGAACTGCTGACGTTACCATTCAAACTGAGGTTGTGGTCAAGTGTGTGTCCTACAGATTCGATCTGTAGGGTGAGAAAGTAATCCGAGCGGCTGGAGTAGATGAAGAAGCACGTGGCATTAGGATGAAAGGAATATTCATTAACAACCTGCGATATACGGATGATACAACCTTGCTTGCTGAAAGTGAAGAGGACTTAAATTACTTACTGATGAAGATCAAAGCCCACAGCCTTCAGTATGCGTTGTAACATCATAATAAATGCTGAAAAAAGTTGAATTGGTCAAGAACTTTATTTTGCTTGTATCTACAGTCGGCACTCATGCATGCTTCTGTTGTTAGATGCCATCTGTACCAACTCATAGTGACGCTGTGCACTACAGAAAGAAACACTGCCCGGTCGTGGACCAACCTCACCGTCGTTGCTACATTTGAGCCCATTGATACTGCAACTGTGCCACTCAGTCTCACTGGGGGTCTTCCTCTTTGTCTCTGACCCTCCACCTTACCAAAAATGATAGTCTTCTCCAGTGACTGGTCCCTCTTGATAATATGTCTGAAGTGTGAGAGACGAAGTCTGGCCATCCTGGCTTCCAAGGAGCACTCTGGCTGCACTTCTTCCAACACAGATCTGTTGGTTCTTTTGGCAGCTCATGGCACTTTCAAAATTCTCTTCCAACA